TTTAATAAGTGTTTTAATAAGGAAGGTATGTTAGATTTTGTCAAAGACCTTTTCTGCATCAGTTGATAGGATCATGTGGTTCTTTTTCTTTAATTTGTTAATGTCATGAATTATGGTGATTGTTTTTCTTATTTTGAAATACCTTCCATACCTGTTATGAATCCTTATGGTCATGACTTTTTTTAAATGTTGTTTTTATTATGTGCTGTCCAGTCACCTGCAACTCATAACTACCCCATATACAACAGCCCTAAACCCTGCTCTGTCCTGTGCCAATCTCACTGTCTCTGACACACCCATCCCAATTACCCCAGTGACTGAATCAATCTATCTCATAGAGGATCTTCCTCTCCTGTGCTGTCCCTCCACCCTCCCAAGCATGATGTCCCTCTCCAAGGACTCAAAAGCATGTTTTCCTTCTACCATTTCTTGTCATTGTCCAGCTTTCTGAGGCAAAGCAAGTGATTGCAAAGATCATGGCCTCTATTGGATGCACCTTAGTCTCCAGACTGATATCATTGCTCCTCAGTACTTTGACGAGGTCTCTAACAGCAGACTTTCCCATCACAATATGTCTTTTTATTTCCTGGATGCTGGTGCCAATATTGTTGATTGTGGATCCAAGCAGACTAAATCTGTGAACAATCTCAATCTTGTCACCATCCATTATGATGCTGCCAATCAGCCCCAGTGGTGAGAATCTTTGTTTTCTTGATATTGAGCTTCAATCCATCCTGAAGGCTGTAGTCCTCGACTTTCTGCAGTACTGTTTGATATTATTGGGCAGGATTTTGTTAAAGAATTTTTCATCTATGTTCATGATAGATATTGATCTGTATTTGAGATGTTGATATTGCTTGGTTTTGGTATTAGGGTTATGGTTACTTCATAGAATGACTGTAAGTGTGTTCCTTCTTTTTCTAATTTTTTAAAATAATTTCGGTGGAATTGGTGACAGATCTTCTCTGATTGTTTGGTTGGATTCAGCCATGAAATCATTTGGGCCAGAACTTTTTTGGAGGTGAGTATTTTTATGACATACTCAGTTTCTTCTTTTGTGATGAGTCTGTATGTTCTTGTCATTCTAGGTAAGGCATAATTTTCAAGGAATTTGTCCATTTCCTTTAGGGTTTCAAATTTATCAGAGTATAGGATTTCATAATATTATGATATTATAGATTTAACTTGATCTGGTTCTATTGTAATACCACCTCTATGATTTATTATTTAAGTTATTTACATCTTATCTCTTTTCCTGTCATTAAATTTGTCAGTGGTTTGTCTATTTTGTTGGACCAAAACTAGCTATTTTGTTAAGTAAGAACCAGCTTTTGGTCTTATTGATGGTTTCAGTTGTTTTCCTATCTTCTATTTCATTGATTTTAGCCCTTATCCTTATAATTTCCTTTCTTTTAGAGGCTGTGGGTTTACATTGTTTTTGTTTTTCTGTTTGATGGGGATGTTAAGTTAGGTCATTAATTGTGCTTGTTTTTTCTTTTTTAATGTGTTTGCCTGTTGCTATGAACTATCCCCTCAGGACAGCCTTACCTGTATCCCAGAGCTTTTGATATGTTATATTTTTATTATCATTTGTTTCAAGGAACTTTTTAATTTCATTTTCTATTTCTTCTGTGCTCTGTGGGAGAAGGATGGGCAATTTCTTCCCGAGCAATTAACTGCCTCTGAAAACCTATGCCAAGATGGTCAGCTATGGGTCATTCTGACTCTATGATACACAACTACTCAACAATAATTTCTTCTGTAACCCAATCATATTCCAGCTGGGTGTAATTTAGTTTCCACATGAGTGGTTTTGTAAGCTTTCTCCTTTTGTGGTTAATTTCTAGTTTTATGGCATTGTGGTCTCAGAAGACATATTTAATTTATTTTTTATTTTGTTGAGGCTCTCCTTGTATCATAATATATGATCGGTTCTGGAGAATATACAATGTGCAATTGATAAAAAAGTAAATTAACTTTTAGTTGGGTGCATTATAGTGAATAGATCTACAAGGTCAAGTTTGCGGATTTTATAATTTAAATCTTCTGCATCTTTGATAAGTCTCTTTCCAGTTGACCTATCGTTTGGTGAGAGTGATGTGTTAAAGTCTCCCACTACTATTGTGACACTATTTCTTTCTTCAAGATTGTAAGCCATTGTTTTATGTATTTTGTAGTCTATCATTTGGTACGTAGATGAAACCAAGGTTATGCTGTCTTCTTGATCTATTGTGCTTTTTGATCAATATATATGCGTGTCTTTATCTTCTATGGTGGTTTTCATCCTGAAGTCTATTTTATCAGAGATTAGTTTGCCAATCCTACTTTTTTGTGAATGCCATTTGCTTAGTATATTTTTTCCACCCTTTGATTTTTAGTCTGTCTTTTTCATCTCTTAGATATATCTCTTGCTGGCAGCATATTGATAAGCTTTGGGGTTTTTTTTCCAGTGATTGGGGTAGGCGTTTCAGAGACAGTGAGGTTGGAACAGGATAGAGCAGGGTTTAGGGCTCTTGTATATAGGGTCACTATGGGTCGCAAATGACTCAATGGCACATAGCAACAACAACTGCTACTCTTTCCCTATTGATTGGTGCATTTAATCCATTCATATTAAATGCTGTAATTTGCAGGCTAGTGTTTATCACTGCCATTAGCTGTGTTTCTTTTTCTGTGTTTCTGGTTTCTACGGTCCGTCCACTTTCCTTTGATGTCTCTTTGTGAAGGTCTTTCCTTCAAATTTCTTGTAAAGTAGGTCTGGTTTTCACAAATAACTTAAGTTACTGTTTTTCTGCAAATGACCTAATTTCTCCTTCAAATTTGGTGGACAACTTTGCTGAGCATAGGATCCTCAGCTGGTTATTGTTTTCTCTCAAACTTCCGAGGGTTTTGTCCCATTATCTTCTTACTTGCAATATTTCTGCTGAGAAATCAGAACTTAATCTAATTGGTCCTCCTTTGTAGGTAACTCTTGGTTTTTCTTCCACTGCTTTTAGAATTCTATACTTATCTTTTATTTTGAAGAATTTGACTATGGTATGTCTTCATTTTCTATTGGAATTTAGTCTGTTTTAGATTGGCTGAGCTTCTTGAATATGAATTTCCTTGTTCTTCATAATACCTGAGAAGTTTTCTTCTAATCCCTTATTCACAATTTTCTCAATGTTTTCCTTATTACTCTCTTGTTCTGGAACTCAGATCATACATACAATGTTTCTTTTGATGTTATTGCATATGATACTAATGTTTTCTTCATTTTCCCTCCATCTCCTCTCTTTTCTCTTCCAGTAGGTTTCCATTGAGGTTCTTGTCTTCCAGCTCACTGACACTTATTCTTGGTTGCGTCTCTTCAGTTTAACTATTTTGTCCTCCAACCTATTGCATACTTCTGCTATTTTGGTCTTGATATTCTGGATTGCATTTTTGTGCATTTCTCTTTTTTCCAGAACCAGAAACACAGCTAATGGCAGTGATAAACACTAGCCTGCCAATTATGGCATTTAATATGGATATATTCTTTCTGTCTTGTGATGATTTTTTTTAAGTTCTTCTACGTCTTTATTTATAGTCTCAATTCTTCCTTCCATCTTTTGCAGTTTCTTCTGTAGTTGCTCATGTTCTTCTGCATCGATATATTTCTTCCGGCTCCTTGCCTCTTGTTGCTATGTGCCATCAAGTTGCTTGTGACTTATAGCAACCATATGTACAAGAGCCCTAAGCCCTCCTCTATCTTGTGCCAAACTCACCATCTCTGACACACTCACTCCCACCACCCCAGTCACAGAAATGATCCATCACATCGAGGGTCTTCCTAGTATTAATCTTACTTTTACCTTCCATTCTTTCTTCCATCATTTGCACCTTCTTCTGTAACTATTCATGTAACTCTTCTTCAAATATTTCTTCTGGTTCCCCATCTCTAGGATGTTCACTTTATTTATGGCTTCTATTCTTTCTTCCATCATTTATACCTTCTTCAGTAGCTGTTCATGTGACTCCACATCAGTATATCTCATCTGTCTCTGAGGTATTCACCGGGTTTACAATATAGTCTACTATTTTAAGAGAAGGATTTTTTTTTCTCACAATGTTAGAAGCTTCCTGCTGCTTTCTTGAAATTACGTAAGCATTTCCTTGGTATATATTAAGCCGTTTCTATTGTGTCTGTGTAGGTTGTTGATTGTTTTTTATCTTTATAATGTTACTGATTAGTTACCATCTTAAAGTGTTCCTTCTATAGGGGTAGACAATTTGCTCTATTGGAAGTCCTATTTGGGCCTGGTAGGTAGAAAAGTTTGCACTTCATAAATGCCCTTCGGGTCCTCTCAGATCTGCATTGTAGTCATGTGGAAACCTCTTATTGCAGCCCCTTCTCCTAAAGTCCTCTTGTGTGATCTGCGAAGTGGCTCCCTGGAGCAATTTCATTCCAAGGGAGTTGCAGGCCCCTCCCTCCCCTGCATCTCAGTGTGCTGGTGCTGGGTGTGAGTGTCTTACCTGATTTCAGCTCCATTGCCTGAAGTCTGTTGTCCTCTTTTGACTGCAGAGTGGTATGGCCAGGTTTCCCAACTTAAGCAGTTTCGGTCCAGAGGCTTTATGAGCAGCTTCCTCCCTAGCATTTCAGTATGCAGGCTGTGGGAGTGAGTCTCTAGTCTTATTGTAGCCCACTCTTTTAAATTATTTTGTCCTCTTTGATCTGTAGAGTGGCCCCACAGAGGCCAGGTTTCCCACTGGAGCAGTTTCTCTCCAGGGAAGTTGCAAGCCCCTCCCTCTCCAGTACTTAATGTCTGTAGATTATTTCTTCACTGCTCTTTAAGAAAGCAAGTGCATAAATACAAGTATGGAAAGGGAAAACAGACCAGATTGTAATATTTGACATTATGCTAGAATTTTACTCTCTTGTGTCCTGCATAAAATGCTTATCAAAAAAGAAAATTATTTTATTATATGCAAAATTAATTTCTTTACATGCTTTCCTACATTACATGATATTTTTTCTTTAGGCTAACAATAGAACACTTCAAGAGAAGATTTTACAAGTAAATAATTTGGTGGAAGCATTTGGTAATGCCTGCACTATTATAAATGACAATTCCAGCAGATTTGGAAAATACTTAGAAATGAAGTTCACCTCTTTTGGAACTGTGGTGGGAGCACAGATTTCTGAGTACCTTCTGGAAAAATCTCGAGTTATTAACCAGGCTATGTAAGTCATGTCAAATATTTCCTATTTTCTGGGAGAGTTATAAAGATGATGCTTCTAAATAAAAATGTCTTATTAATTGAACAAAATTTGGCTAATCACCTACTATATGAAAGGCAGTGTTAGGAACAGAGCAATAGTTCAGCATTTTCTTATATTCTAAAGAGCACTGTTGTTGTTGTTATGTGCCATCCAGTCGTTTCTAAAGAGCACTACAAGTAAACAGAAAAAAAACACAAACAAAAAAACCACTTTCCTTGAGTTGGTCCCAACTCATGGTGATCCCAGTGTGTCAGGGAACCGTGTTCATCAGAGTTTTCAGTGACAGATGCTTCGCAAGCAGATCACCAACCTTTCTTCTTGCATTTGGTTTTGAACTTCCAATTTTTTGCTTGAACTAGCAGCCAAGTTCATTAACCATTTGCACTATCTACGGACTTCACAACTAGAGTTAACAAAATAACTTTCATTTAAAAGTATGATGGCAAGTAGAAAGCCCGATCTCAATATCAAAGTATTAACAAGATAAATTAGAATAAGTTCTGAAGTTGTTGGAGTGTGTGTGTGTGTATGTGTGTGTGTAGCGCATGCATGTGTGTATGTGTGTGTGTAGAGAATGTATTTCTCTACATAAAACTAATGAGAAATGTTGATGTTTTTATGTGTCTTCAAGTTGTAACTAACTCATAGCTGAATAGCAAAATTTCTCTCCTGTCTGAATGATGTTTATATTGGCTTTTGCTTTGTTTTTCTTTTAGAAAAAAAGTGTAACTAATTACAATATTTTTCTTTTTTTGCATAATGCTTGTATACTAAACAAAATACTGTTGTGGTTAGGTTATGATTCATAGTGACCTTATGAACTATGGATCTGCACCCTCCTCTATCCTGTGACATGCTCATTATCCCTGCCACTAGAACCTATTGCTGTGGTCACTATGTCAGTCCATCTTATTATGAGTCTTCCCCTTATCCTCTGACCCTCTGCTTTCCAAGTACTAACTGCTCTTAACCACATGCTCAAAATATGTGAGATGAAATTTCACCATCTTTCCCTCTGAGGAGCACTCTGGCTGCACCCTTTCCAAGATACATTTGTTTGTTCTCTCAGCAGTCCATGGGCTATTTAGTACTCTTCTCCAACACCACAACTCAAAGGCATCAATTACTTTTCTATCATTTTTATTCACTGTTCACCTCTCAGGTGTACAGCAAATAATTGAAAATATCATTGCTTGAATTAGGAACAACTTTGTCATCCAATTCCCTATGCAACACATCTTTTGATATCCTGAGTAGCTGGTACCCAGGGTATTGATTGTGGATCTAGATAATATGAAATCATTAAGAGTTTCTATCTTTTCTCCATCTATAATTTTGTTGCATAGTGGCCTGGTGATGAGGATTTTTTGTTTTCTTGATATTGAGACATAATTTATACAGAAGACTGTAGTCTTTGCAACAAGTACTTCAAGTTCTCTTCACTTTCAGCAAGCAAGGTTTCTATGAAGGATACTGTGGACAAAATCTAGAATTATCTGTTTCTTGTTGTTGTTATTGTTATTGGGTACCATCAATCCTATGAACAGCCAGTCTTAACTCTGTCCTATCCTGTGCCATCCTCACATCTCTGAAACACTCAATCCCATTGCTAAAGTCACTGTGTCAATCCATCTCATAAGGGGTTTTCCTTTCTTTTACTGACCTTCCCATAGTCCTGAATATCCCTCTCCAATGAATAGCTTCACCTAGTTACTTGCCCAGAGTATGAAAGACGAAGCTTCTCCATCTTTACCTCCAAGGAACACTCTGTCTCCACCTTCTCCAAGACATTATCTGCTTGTTCTTTTGTTATCTCCATGGATATTCTGTACTTTCTCCAGCACTGAAACTCAAAGACATTAATTCTTCTTCTGTCATCCTTATTTATTTTCCAGCTCTCTAATGCATAGCAGATGATTGAGAAGACTATGACCTGAATTTGGCACACCTTAGTCTTTAAACTGACATCACTGCTCTTCAGTACTCTGGGAAGCATTAAAAGAAGAGAAAAGGAAATAGTTTAGAAAGAAGAAGGAAGGAATATACCAAATTACCAAAGAGAGTTGGCTGACACAGAACCATTCAAAAAATAGCATATGATCAGAAATCAATGGTGTAAAAAAAAACAAAAAAAACAATGCCCTGAGAAATTATGAGATAACAAGTGACATGTTTAAATAAATAGTTCCACCTGGATGTGCTCACCAGTCTATGCCAAGAAATTTGGAAGACAGCAACTTGGTCAACAGAATGGAGGTATATCTTTGTTCCCATTCCCCAAAAAGGTAATACAAAAAAATGTGGAAATTATAAAAAAGTCTCATTAAGAACACATGCAAATAAATCTTTCTGGTGTTTATTATAAGCAGCTAGAACAGTACATTGACAGAGAACTCCAGATATTCAGACTATATTTACAAGAGGCCATGGCACCAAGGATATCATTACTGATGTCAGATGAATCTTGGCTGAAAGCTGAGGATAGCAGGATATATACTTGTGTTTTATCAACTGCACAAAGGCATTTGGCTCTGTGGATTGTAACAAATTGTGGATAACACTGAGAAGAATGGGAATCCCAGAACACTTGTTTGTGCTCATGTGAAACTTAAACCTAGATCAAGAACCAGTATTCCAAAAAGAATGCTCATAAGAGACAAACTGAGATCAAGCTTAGAAGCCCTACTCCAAAGCATAAAGAGACTGCCAAATACAACCAGAAATGCATAATCTGAAGAGGATAAAATTGATGCATGGGACCTTCTAAAGATTAAATCCATGTGTGTATCAAAAACTTTTTCCAACAGGGTGAAAAGAAAACCTACAGACTGGGAACAAACATTTGGTAATGCTATCTCAGACAAGAGTCTTATAACAAAAGTTTACAGAATACTCCTGGACCTTGACAAGAAAAGGGCTGATAACCTAATTACAAAATGAACAAAAGACATGGAAAGAATTTTCACAGAGGAAGATATTTGAATGGCAAACAGACATATGAAGAAATGCTCCAAATCACTGGCAATAAGAGAGATGCAAATAAAAACCACAATGAGGTACCATCTCACTCCAGTGAGAGTGGCAAAGTTAAACAGGGAAGCAAGTAATAAATGTTGGGAAGGATATGGTAAGAAAGAACTCTTATACATTGTTGGTGGGATTATAAAATGGTACAACCACTCTGGAAGGTAGTTTGGCACTTCTTCAAAAAGCTGAACATAGACATTCCATATGACCCAGATATTCCACTGCTTGGAATATACCAGGAAAAATGAGAACTGAGGCATAAATGGAGATTTGTACACCAGTGTTCATAGCAGCATTATTCACCATCGCAGAAACATGGAAACAGCCCAAATGTCCAACCACAAATGAATGGATTGAGAAATCATGGCACACTCACACAATGGAATACTATGCAGCATGCAGGAGCAATGATTTTGTAAATTATTATATATTATATATATTTAATTATTACATATTAAATATTATTATATATTGATTATATAGTGCATATAGTCTATCGATTAATTATATGTTCTATATCATATATTAAATATATAGTTATTATATAATGTTTTTATAAATTACCTAACTTGGGAGGGACTGGAGAGCATTATGCTTAGTGAACGAATTCAGTCCCACAGGATAAATATTGTATAAAACCATTTTTGTAGAGTGAGTATAAGAATCCAAGAGGGGTGTGAGAGGGTGGAAGCAGAGGGATGAGGATGTGTGTGTTGGGGGAGGGGATTAATCATGGGGCTGTACAATTTGATAATAAGGTGTTCGAATTTTGTAAATAAACTAGTATAATTTTTTTTTAAATCAAGAAAAATGTGTGTCAGAGTTAAATCCTTTCTCCATATCTGTTCAGTCTCTAGGCTGAATAAATCGTTTGAGAAGCTAGACTTTAGAAAGAAGAATGTGACATCAGAATTGCAAGAAGATTCATCAACAACCTGCATTATGCAGATTATACAAGTTACATTACTGTAGAAACATAATAAACTCATGGAATTAAAGGCTCTTTTTTATGTACTGTTACATGATTATTTCATATAAACCAAATATAGAGTCTTCAAGTCTGATATATAGCGAACTTGTAAGGACAGAGTATAACTAACTGTCCCTTATGACTCCTCAGGGTGGAAATCTTAATGGAAGCAGTTTACCACCTCTTTCACCTACGTTATCAGTTGTTTGATTCAAACTACTGGCCTTTTGATTGGCAGCCAAATGCCTTAACTGCAATGCTACCGGAGCCCCCTTTATAATTAAGATTCTCCAAAGTTGCTATCATTTTATTCACAATATATAAGTTGCCTAGAATCCAGTTTCTGAGAATCCAGACCTCAAAGGAAAATGATCCTTTTGCTCTTGACTGTGAAATAAATGATTAGACAAATATTGTTTTAAATTTTTGCTTCATCACATGCTAGACTACATTGATCAAGATATTTAAGCCTTATAGACCCTTATAGAATGTTGGTACTGCAATTTCCTGGATGTGTGTTTTAAAACAATTCTACTTAAAATGTCTGTGTACTTAAAAAAAAAAAAAAACCAAACCAAAAACTTCTATGTACTTCAGCTCTTCATCTTTAAAATGAAAATAGTGATCAACTAATACCTATAAAGTACATATGTTTAAGACCCACTGCTCTCTGGCTTCCTGACGAGTTCAGCCAATAGATAGCAATCACAAAAAGAGAGAAGAGTCACATTGAAAATGTTCAGAATATTACAACTCCTGTTACGAACAAAGGGACCTCTGGTGGTCTACAGTGTAAGGAGATGTACTCTGAACCCAAAGGTAGATGGTTTAAAAGCACAGTATATACTTTTTTTATATACTTTTTTTTTATGTACTTTTTCCACAGGCAAAAGCACAGTCTTTCTCATGTTGATTATAACCTATGAAAACCCACTAGAGGGTCACATATGAAGTAGCTTGGAAG